GATGTGTTTTTGCTCGATTTAAGACCTAAAGACTCTGCCAAGGCTCTCAACTGAGCTTTATCATACAGTTTTTCAAGAGGTAATGTATCCTTGTGATCTGCCTTCACATTCTTTAGCACATGATCCGGGCTTCATACACGGAATCAAATAGGAAAATTTGTCATTTTCATATAAAGCAGGGTCAGTGTGAATTTTCTCAAAGTGCGACCGAAACCAGGTAAGCCAATTTATCAATTACCCATCAAACTTCTTAAGTTCGATTTTTGGAAGTCTATACTGTTTAATCTTACTACAACAAATACCAGTGCACCATCATTTGGTCTTCGTTTCTAAATTGATTTCATCTGAAAATTGCAATTTTTCATTAATTTGCCGAGTTAGTGTTATGAAATCATCAGAATACACCTCGCGACTTTCAATTTCCTTAGTAACATCATCCTAAAGTTTTCCCGTCTTCAGTCAACAAATCAAGAATTTTATCATCTACATTTTTTATATCTGAATATACATTTTGTAGTTTAGTAAGTTTATCTCATACTAAATCTACAGAAAAATCTTCTTTTAATAACTCCATTTTTAAAATATTAGCAGTTTTTGCAAAAGAAGGGCGTAAACCTGCCCAATTAAGTTTCAGAGCCTTTGAAGCTTCCATAGTTAATTTTCAAAATAAAACAAAATGCTTTACAAAATAGTTTCGAATTTAAACTTAATTGTACTTTAACCCCTTCGCGCCGGGTAGCGCAAACGCACGCTTATCGCGGAGGCAGGCAGTGTGTTACGCGAGCGTCTGTCCAGGGCCAGGGGCTTTTTTGCTATTAAGCCTAAATCCATGAAATTTCTGATTTATTGTTTAATAATGCTCTATAGAGTATTTAAACGGCTTATGCTTTATAGATATTTTTATATATACTTTAATTACCTTATTTCTTGTTTAAATGCATATTTTACACATTTTATTTTCATTAATCACTATTTTATGACTTTTAACAGTATACATCTGAAAACTAAATATATTACTTAAAATTCTCTTTTCGTATGAAAAACTTGAAAACAGGAATCTACACACAGTATTAACTGCCAAAGAAAAAGAAAGACAAAAAGAAGAAAAATTAAGTGATGTAATGTTTTCAAACCTTCTTTAAAATGTTAAAGCATTATGTAATCAGTTTCAGTATTTAAGTATAATATTTTTCATTACTTTTTGTTAATTTTATGTGGGATTTACATATTATCTTGAGTATGAAATTAATTTGTTGAGAAAATTTCTCATAAAAATGCATGGTTTTTTTATTAATGTAATTATTTGCAACACGCATTTAAAGATATGTGTATTTTATGTTGTCTTATTAGTGAAAAAAAATTTTTTTAGACAAAATTCTTGTAAAGAAAATGGTAGATTATTATTAAAGAATTAAAATTTAGAAATAGTGAAAATGTTGACTGTTAATAAGGTTCATATTTTTTTTTGGAGACTGTTTTTTGGAAGCAACGTGTGCTTCAGATATACAATCAGGTGAGTGATTTTTTATTTAGTAGTAAAATAAATACCTTTCTGAGTCAATTATGGAAAGAGAAATTTCACTGTTCACCAGGTGGAAAATGAATGCAACTAATTGCCTTCATGTACTTAAGATGGTTAGGAAATACCTTTCTTTACTAGAAGTAGTATATATTTCAAGAGGTTGTCTTTTAAAGTTTATGTTATGAAAGTGATTCTAAAAATGTTACTTATGTGCTAGAGACTTAAAATTACTCTTAAATTTGAAATCAAGTTGCTAGCCATGCCTTTATAATCTTCTTCTGAACAGTATATGTGCGTAAATATAATTATTCATCCCTAGTATATTACAAAAATAGGTAATGCAGCATTCAAATTTTGGAATTGGATATCTGGTTGAAAGTGCAGATCTCTGTAGAAAATTCATCTTGGGGATACAGTATGTTTTTAAGACATGAGCAAAGGTTAATCTGTGAAAAGTTTGAGAACCACTTCTGTATGAAAATTGGTGGAACAGAATTTTTTCAAAAAATGTTACTACAGTCAAAAGTCGTTAATTCGGACACCCATAATGATCTATAATCCGGACCTCAAAGCTACAAACTTTCTGCGCATGCGTCGTGTTGACGCAAGACCTTTACCGATGCACATATGCGTGTGCGCATGCGCATAATACGTTTACGCATGCGCGTTTAATGTATAACGGAGGGAATAAGCTAAAATTATCTAATTATCTATTTCAGTTAATGTTCCAGATTGCGTTGTTCCTTAATCTTCGAATTGGATCCGGCTTATTAATTTTGCAGACTGTTAGAGCAATTTTATAAAAGTAAGCTTGAACTTTCGATTATGTCAAATAGAATTTCCGAAGCTGGAGCTCCCAAAGGATCTACAAAGCGAAAGTATGTTTCAATGTCCATCAAACAAAAAGTGGAATTGCTGCCAAAAAATAAATAAAGGCATATCCTTTGTTTCTCTAACCATTCCGAAATCTCTTTATCGATTTCACGCTGCTCTGCGGCGGGGGAGGGGGGACACAATGAATTGGAAGTTGATCTGTCAGCACTATTGATGCAAACGCAAAGTTTAAAGTTGTAAAATTAAACTTTTAGCAAAAGTAGCAAAAGAAGCTCCCTAAGGTTATACACTGAAGTGACCAAAGTCATGGGATAGCAATATGCAAATATACAGATGGCAGTAGTATCGCATAGAAAATGTATAAATGCGAAGTGCTTTGGCAGGGCTTTCATTTGTGTTCCATGTTATTCATGTGAAGAGGCTTTGATGTGATTATGGCCGCACGACGAAAATTAACATACTTTGAATGCAGAATGGTAGTTGGAGCTAGACGCATGGGTCATTCCATTTCGGATATCGTTAGGGAATTCAACATTCCGAGTCCACAGTGTCAAGAGTGTGCCGAGAGTATCTAATTTCAGGCATAACATCCCACCATGGACAGCGCAGTGGCCAACCACCTGCACTTAACGACCGAGACTAGCGACGTCTGCATAGAGTTGTCGATGTTCACAGACGAGCAACACTTCATCAAATAACCGCAGAAATCAATGTGGATGTACGAGGGACGTGTCCAATAGGACAGTGCGGCGAAATTTGTCTTCCTTGGGCTATGCCAGCAGAAGACCGACTCGAGTGCCTTTACTGACAGCACGACATCGCCTGCAGTGACTCTCGTGGGCTCGTGAGCATAGTGGTTGGTCCCTAAACGAATGGAAAACCGTGGCTTTGTCAGATGAGTCACAATTTCAGTTGGTAAAAGCTGATGTTAGGGTTCGAGTGTGGTGCAGTCCCCACGAAGCCATGGTCCCAAGTCATCAAAAAGGCACTGTTAAAGCTGGTGGTGGTTCCATACTGGTCTGGGCTGTTTTTACATGGCATGGACTTGGTCCTCTGGTACAACTGAACCGATCATTGACTGGAAATGGATACATTCAGCTACTTGGAGATCACTTACAGCCATTCATGGACTTCATGTTCTCGGACAACGATGGGATTTTATCATTTTTTCTATCATTCGTATTTTTCAGACAGCTTGAAAATTAATGCATAATGAAGTATCTGTACGTGCTACTAGCTGGCATAATACAGTCAAAAGTCGTTAATTCGGACACCCATAATTCGGAATGATCTATAATCCGGACCTCAAAACTAAAAACTTCCTGCGCATGCGCTGCGTTGACACATGCGGATAGGCGTTTACGCGTGCGCGTAAGACCTTTTACGACTGCGCATATGAGTGTGCGCAAGTGCAGAATACGTTTTCGCGTGCACGTTTTATGTATAATGGACGTATAAGCTAAAATTATCTAATTATCTATTTCAGTTAATTTTGATGATTGCGTTGTTCCTTAATTTTCGAATTGGATCCAACTTATTATTTTTTGCAGACTGTAAGAGCAATTTTATAAAAGTAAGCTTAAACTTTCGATTATATCAAATAGAATTTCCGAGATATATTTGTTAATATGTAAAGGATCTAAAGCGAAAGTATGTTTTGAAATCCAAAATCTGTTTATCAATTTCACGCTGCTCGGCGGGGGGAACGCCGCGGCGGGCGCGTAATGATTTGGAAGTTGATCTGTCAGCACTATCCTTATCTTCAGCGCAGATGTTTTTTTTTTTTTATTTTATTTGGCTTATAATTCCTTACCAAATGTAGTTTTTCATCTTGATATGCTCTGTCTTTGATATGATTTAAAACAAGTTCCTCGTTATTATAATTAATTCGCTTCCGATAGCGAAGAAAAGTGACAGAGGTTATTGAAAACGAAAAAATTTCGATTGACAAATTAGTCGGTGTTCTTGACACAGCAATTATAGGACTTGAACAGCGGAACTTTGTAACTGAACAAGAAATTATGTCTGTTTAATAGAATTAAAGAGAAAGTATTATCACATGAAACGAAGCAAAACTTAAACAACTTACATTGAAAGAAATGTTTAATAAAGTAAACAAATAAATATTAAGCTTTTTCTTTTTGCAAATTTTGATACCCTTTAGATCATAATTGTTCTTTATTTCATAAATTACGGTTTCATATTTTTAATTTTAGAATTTCTGCATGCCATCTTACGAGATTTAAACTGATGATCTATAATCCAGAAAAATCGATAATCCGGATTTGCCGAAGTCCCGACGAGTCCGGATTAACGACTTTTGACTGTATAACCAAATTTTAAAAAATTATATGCAACAAATATAGAGGTATTCTTCGACAAAAGAACCTCAATAACGTTCAAACTGAAATTAAATGAATTATAGTCAAGCAAACAAAAAAAAAAAAAACTTTTTTTTTTGTTCAAAGAAAAAAAAAAATTAAATGAATTATAGTCAAATTTCAACCACTAAGTGACCACTAGTACATATTGAATGATTCAACTAATTTTGTATTTTCGTTAAAGTATTTTTATACAAAATTGTATACAAAACTTGCAGTTTTAAAACTACATAAAATTTTCAGATCTGTTTCTTTATTTGTAGGTGGAGTACTTATCCAAATTGGCAAATCAGTTGCATCAGAAATTAGCAAAGGAACAGTAAGTATTCAATAATAAATGTATGAAAGTGTGAAGCTGTAAAGCAATATTTAATTTTTTGGTCACATACCATAACTTAAATTCATATTTAATGGTATTAGTGAGTTGCGTGTTATTTTAATTTTCTTCATTATATTTGGCCATTTTCAAGTCACTTAAAATTATGAATAGGAAGTATGTACAGCAGTGTTCCAGTAATTTTTTACTACTGATGTGCAACTTTGTTGACTACTAGAATGTTTGTGAAATTTTTGTTTTTTACTTGTACATATATATTTAAATTAATTCTATTGTAGTAACATTTACTATTTTCAGAAATGCTTATATTTAAAAAACTATTTATTAGTTATAAAAATTAATACATTTATATACATGTGGACATAAAATTATTTACTAATATATATAGCTTAACTCTAATAGTTCTAAGGTTCAGATTTATAAATAATATTAGTAATAATAAATGCTATGTTTATATAAATATGTGTTAAATCTTTTCTCTCCTATCTTTAAAATTTAACTATTCAGCACATATGCAATCCAAATTTGTATTGTTACCACTCCTTAAATATGATTTTAGTCACACAAACATGTCTAAGTGATCTTCTAAACAATTTCTTTGTTAATTTTTTGTTGAATTTATTAAACTAAAGTCTTGTTCTCTAGATGTCTCTAGATACCAAATGAACAGGTCTCTAGATGCCAAATATGTACTATCAGTATAAATTAAATTTGAAAATTCAGAAAATTATCCATTACCACACCAAAAAAAAATATTATATAAATATACACTAAACATTTTCATGCACAGCAAATTTAAAGTCATTGTATTGTTGAAGGACAGCTGTTGTATCAGTTAACATGTTACTGTATTTTATGTATAATTTTTCAACTAGTTCTGTGCCATAATTGAAACTGCATGTGCGTAATATTGTTAAAACAAACATTGCCCATTCCTGTGCTTCAGTTTCAGTAAATCTTTTTTTCTGAATGAGAGCAAAGTAAATTTTTAAAAGGTAGCATATAATAAGTATCAATTTAAGGTATTTTTTGCACCGACTGTGCAGAGAACAACTTTCAACACATTACTCCAAGTGATGGTACTGTGGTTAAGATTGTTACATGTGGTATGGGTGTGTAATGGATTGAATGCACATAGAACCCATGATAGCTTGTTAAATTTATTTTCCCACAGGAAACACTTGACAGTTTTGGAATTTTCCCTAAAATTTTCTCCTACAGCTCTTCTCAGTATGGCAGAACACAATCAGTAGTTACCACTTCAAACTAAGAATGTTGAATACCATACATTACCAAGCACATAAAAATAGCGAATCTTGCACGGAGATTTCTCAATGCTCCGAAGTTAGCTTTGAACTAAAAACTGAGGACTGATGCGATCGATCTCTGGTCATATACAATCTTCCACCGGACCACTGATAAATTTCTTGTACACTCAATTTCTTAAAATTGTTGGAAGTCATATATGTATACAACAGCTAGAAGAATACAGTTATGTGTGGAAATCAGACCAGTTACAGTTAAACAGGGGTCGAACCAGGTTGTCTCCAGATGTTTGCTATATTTGGTGATTTCTTGCCAAATTTGGGGACAAAAATTAGTTGGACAGCTTGGCACCATTTCGCCAATCTGGTGAGATAGCCATATACCTCAGTGTTAAATGGACTTGTCCCTGTATTCTTATTTTTCTGGCAAAACTTCACTCTGTTCTGGCCTTTCATAGTACATTATACATATAACATTAATTTTTACATATAATTTCGCTTAAATTATTTACATATATACAAAATTGTAACATTGCCCCCTCCCTTTCCTAAGAACTGCACCTAATGGACAGTACAAGTCCTGGACAGGAAGTCATACTTGAAACTAAAGAAAATTTATGCAATATTAAAATAATAATTTCAACAAATAACATAGAACAAATCAAGTACTAAATCAGTAACTTTTAATGCATGAATTAACAAATTTATGTACTTATAGGATTATGGTCTTAGTATACTATTTACTACTATTGCCATAGTAAGGAGCTAGCCTATCGTAATGACTTTAGTCATTTAATTTGATGACTTGCAGATCCGAACTACAATGCTGTTTAGTCTGTTTAGGACTTGTGTAAGTACCATCCTAGGGTGACTCTAGTTTAGGATAAAATCCTTTCCATTGAAATGGATTCCATAACACACCTTGTCACCTATATTGAATCAATGTCCTATGAGTCTTCATCATCTCTATCCCCAAGTTAACTCTCTCTCATAGAGAATTGTGTTTCACTTCAAATCATGCCTGGATATCTTGAGATCCCACCGACATTGTTCTTGTCATTAATGCAGAATTCTGAAAAACTGATGCCTCTTTATTTAATAAATAATTAGTAGTTGTCCTCTTCATTTTTGTCCTCCATTAAAAAAGCTTTCATCGATTTTTGGTTTTACCAGAAGTTGTCTAGAACACACTGTGTGCAAACTCCCTAGCATTCTATTACTGTTTTGTCAGTCATATTCAGTTGACCATATCAGCTAACACACTTTTTTTTATGATAGTATCCTGTATTTTTGTGAATAATTAGCTGTTTGCTGTTCTATAGAAGGTAGATCTCATATTTTAATCTCCCCCAGAAAATGCAAGGGAAAAATACAGCAGTGTATTAAAATAATTTAATCCGACATAATATATATTATTTTCATAGAATCAAAATGTGGCTTATCAAGAATGAATCTGGATTATAACAAATTGAAAGCACAGATGTTATGAGTATGGTGTTATGTCATGTGTACCCGTAACTTTTGCTGAATTGCACTGCTTAGTTTAACTTTTGCTGAATTGCACTGCTTAGTTAGCATTACGGACTCAATGGGATAATAAATGCCTATTTGATTAATGCTTCATAGTTTTTAATTATTGCTTTCAGTGCTAAATGTCTGGTGACCATCCGATTTTAGTGATTTAAAGGTTAACATCTTAATAGTTAATTCATAATTATTCATTGATGGTTAGTAGCTTCATTTTCTGAAACTGTAGTAATATTTTGAAATTTGTATCTCTAGAAGATCTCTTGCAGATCTAGAAAATGTGCTGTATATCATTCTCATCTAAGTTTCGATATCTTTCATTATTTAAACTTCTCTTGAAGCATTGAAATTATCTCATGATGTGCAGCAGAATGTTGTTGAACCAAATGCATTATACTTTCTTCTAGTTTTGCTTTTACTCCATTTACCTTTAAGCATAACTTTTTGTCACAGGATTCCAAAAAAATAGTTTTATGTTGGTAATTCTGTTGATATTTAAATTTTAAGTATAATACTGAACATTTGGTGATAGAAGTGTCAATACTTTGGCAATTAAAGTATAAAAATTCGATGCCTTGAGTTCTTTTGCCATGTTGGTTTTTAACACAGAATTATTAATTTCTAAAAACATTAAAAGCATAATTCTTACTTTGCCCTCTTTTTTTTTTAATTGTTATTGTAACATTATCCTGAACAAAATGCAACAAAATGTTAGTTTTTGATTGCTAATAATGCATTAGTATTTTATATTTTCAATTCTTTGTGAATATATATTTTTTTTTTTACTTTCAACGTTCATTGAGGTCTCATTTAATAAAATGCAAGTAACAGTCACATTAGTAAATGCAAGTAACTGCATTTTTTGCATTTCGCATAATAGAATTCGTACTTGTTTTTAATTGTTGTTTTCTTTGTTTCAAATATTTCAATAAGCCATTTGGTTTTAAATCACTTGCTGATTTTCTTCTTACATAGTTTTCTACAGTTTTTATATAAATATATGAACGTACAGTGCATAAATGCATGTATTGTTAGCTACACTCACAAAGAATGTATAATTATGTGCTAGTCGCTGTTTAACAACATGCATTTCACTTGCTACATTAAGAGACAATGCAAGTGCATCGGCAATATTTCTAAAGTTGTATGGCAAAACACAAGCCTACATATTAAATACCATATAACAAAAACACTTGGTATGGTTTATTTTAAAAGTAATGTAAAACATAATTGTTATTAGCACTTTGAATCTGGTTATAGTATTGTTGTGTATTCTTTTGTTAATTGTCTTTGTGTACGAAATTTCTGAAAGGCGAGCGATCTCACACACGTACAGCTTAGAGGGTACTCTGATGTACTGAATAGAGTTTGAGGTTCGAAATTGTTGAATTTAAATTCCGGATTTTAGATATTTATTTTTAGTCTAGTAAGATGATGACATGTGGAAGTCATAAAATTAAAAATATGGAATGGTTATTTGTTTAATAATGAAACATTTATGAATTTAAGAGAATGAAAATAAACTCATTTATTTTGTTTTATTAAACATTTCTTTCATCACAAGTTATTTAAGCAGTTTTGTTGTATGTATCAGTACGTTCACTTTAATTTGATAGAGAGAAAGATATAATTTCTTGTTCATTTACCAAGTTCCATTCTTCAAGTCCTGTAATTGGCACGTCAAGAGTTCTCATTAAATAGTCAACTGAAAACTTGATTCTCAACCATCTCTTTACAGTACAAAGTCCAAAATCCAGAATGATCTTAAATCCAAACTTCCAAATCCCCAGCAGTGTTTTTTTAAATGCTTGTGAATTAGATATTTTCTTATAATAAAACACGGGGAGTACCATTTCTTATTTTCCCTTCAGCACTGATGTTTGAGAAATGACACACTTCAGTTTGAGAAAGAACTCACGCAGCAATGTCTAAACATTTTTAAAAATTTTTATTTTTAATATTAGTAACTGAATACCAAAGATCATCATAACCTTTTATGCTGATATTACGCTTGGCAATAATTACAGACTTCGCTTAACTCAGCTGCAAAGTGTTGAGTGTGCTGATGGGGAGAAATTTAACAAAAATTTCTTTGTATGTGGAAATATATATATATTTTTTCATTATTATACATATAGGCCAAAAGATGTGCCATAGCTGATACAGCAGGCAGCAGAATTTAGGAGAGGC